TGGATATTTGTTTGTGAACTATCCTTTGGCAATCTGGAGATTTTGCAGATAGCCGTTAACCTCCCTTTGCTCTGGAGTTTATTATTTAATGGCCTTTTACGACCTCCAGCTGATTGGTGCTTGTGGGAGGTAGCGGGTTTGAGGGTGTTTTATTTATTTTATCGATTATTTAAAAAATGGCAGAATTATTTTTAATATACATTTTTGGAAAAAAGGCCTATATATACAACACAATTCACGACCACTTACCGCAAGGGTGTTCGCCATACAAACACGGATGCGCTTCGCGACTGCCAATCGGCAGGGAATGTGCATGTTTTCTTGGGTCAGGACGCTGCAAACCGCAAAAAGTTGTCCCGTCCACGGTTTTGGCCGACGCTGCTAACGCACCAGCTCCGGGTATCTCTCTCTCAAACGCGTGGGGATTCGTTATTTAATTTGACCCTCACTGACTGGGGCCGGTTGCAAATGAGGGATGCGTCCCTGCTCACACTGCGTCGTAAGGCTGGTGGCTCCGCGGATGGCAGGGTCGGGGTCGATTCTTGGATATTGCGGGTCTCCTCATGATTTGGGACGGTAAATCCCTTCACTATAAAATCGTTGTGTCATCCACCTTGCGGGGTAGAGTTATTCTTGCCACTCATGAACGACTGTTGCATTTGGGGTCTCACAAGACCCTGGCCATGCTCCGGCTTGATTTCTTCTGGCCGGGCATGGCAAGGGATGTGTCGATCGTTCCCATGGGATGTGTGCATTGTGCCCAGTGGAAACCGCCAGCCAAGGCAGTCAGTCGGCTGCTGCAATCCATTCGGGTCTCACGCATCAACGCGCTCGTTGCGCTCGACATTATGGGGGCCGTTCCCGGCAACACCTAGAGTTAATTAGTACCTGCTGGTTGGCGTGGAATATTTCACTCGATGGCCCATGGCCTAGCCACTCGCTAACCAGTCGGCAGCAGCCGTTACCAAGGCCTTTGTCCAGGGCTATGTCCTGGACAAGGGTGCACTGGAGTGACTTTTGACCGATCAGGGAAATAATTTCTCAAGCTCTTTACTGCGTGACGTGTGCGACCTTCTGGGTACTAAAAAAGTGCGTACCTCCCCGTACCACCCGCAAACGGATGGGATGGTGGAGCGGCTCCACAGGACGCTCACGTCCATGCTGTGCCATCAGGTGTGCGAATCTCAGGTGGATTGAGACCTCCAAATTCCGGGTGTTCTTCCCGCCTATAGGATGGCTCCCCACGCGGCTTCTGGGTTTTCCCCCTTCTTCCTGATGTATGGCAGGGATGTTGATCCGCCCGTGGATGCCCAGTTGGGGATTCCGGCGCCCCGTCCAAAGTCCAAGTTGGCTGATCACGTCAAATTCAACCTTTTGAGATTGGCCGAGGTACGGGAGGCTGCGGCACAGAATTCGAGCTCTCGCCAAAAGGCGAACGAGCGGTTGCGTGCACACTGCACACACGAGTGGAAGCCGGGCGATAAGGCCTGGCTACACTCTCCGCAGGTACCACTGGCAACGTCACCGAAACTGCTGAGGCCATGGAGGGGGCCGGTCGAGGTTGTGCAGGTCCCGCGGCCACAATGTGTTCGAATTAAGAGGGGGAAGCAGCTATGGTATGTTCACCTCTCACGGCTGAAACCGTTCATTCCACCTCATACCTACCCTACATGTTCCAAGGGCCGAGCATGTGATGTGTCCGTCGACTCGGGGAATGTGATGCCGTCGCCTGATCCTCACATGCCGTTGACTGTTCCACTTCCAGACACACCGGAATTGACGGCTTCAAAAGTGCATCAGCCACCGGATCCCGAAGATGAGTGTGGAACCGGGCAGCCCACTCCATGCCCTTAGGGGCTGCTTGCCTCACCCCCCAGACAACCATGCCCTGCCCCGTACGACGGGCCAGCCATTCGGACTCGTGCTAAGACACACTGGTTTTCGTAAGGAACGGCTGCTGGACTGTCCAAACAACTCTCTTCTCCCCGGATCCCGGACGTGTATATTGTTCATAGTGTTTATTTGTACAGGTGGGTTGGGGTAATTTATTGCGATTGTTATCGTTGTTGTTACTGTTATTGTTGCTTTTGTTATTGAGGCACACAGAATGGAGTTTCTTGTTACGGTTTCTTTATTGTTCACATTGTGTTACAGCCGGGACGGCTGCGGGATGTACGGGGGGGGGGGGGGGGGGGTGGTGATGTGGTGGTGGGGTTGGAGCACGCACACACCAAACCGGGCGACTTACAATACTTACCGGTGCGGGTGAGTGTGTCATCCCAGACCAGGCTTCCTGAGGGGATGGGGCTGTGGGGTCTGTGGGATCCCACAGGACCCCGCTCCTCTTGGAAGCGGTACAAACCTGTTGTGGGCGGTTGTGTGTGATGTGGGTCCAGGGCCTCCTGAGGGGAGGGGACTGGAGGGGTCTGTGTGATCCCACAGAAACCCGCCCCTCAGTGAGAAATTGTATAAAAGGTGGGACCCAGAGAGCAGAGAGTTCCGTTCGACCAAGCCAAGACGAAGAGCCAGTGAAGAGAGAAGACCGACTAGCCAGACCCTGGAACTCTCCTGATTTGCTGCCCTTTTCAGGGCTGGGCAGAGCAAGCCAGGGTGTGACCCCAGAGCCGCGAGGGCCGATGTCCTTCTAAGGGCCGGACTCATGTGGCTGGTGGTCGAGACCTGCGCCGAAGCTGGGCCAGGTCAGTTAGCCTCCGGTAGGGAGGACTAGAATAGAGGGAGGTAGGGAGTTATCGTGGGCATTAACTCGGGGAACACTTCCCTCTATATAGAACGGGTGAAGAGGCCGTTACCTCTTCAAGTGTCAGGGTCGCTACTGTTAGAAGTATTTGTAATAAATACGTGTTGCCTCAAGCCAACAGTCCCCATCGTCATAAAGGCCACTACACATTTCAAGAGGAAGTAGTATCTATTGACTTTGCAGTTGTATCTACTGACTGTACAGTAATATCTACTGACCGTAGTGGTATATACTGACTGTTTTAGTATCGACTAACTATATATAGCAGTATCTACCAACTCGATAGCAGTATCTACTATCACAACATCAGTGCATACTGTGGTGGTACCTGCTATGATCACAGCAATGCATGCTCACTGTGGTGGTACCTGATTTCACTACAGCAATGCATACCAACTGTGGTGGTACCTGCTTTCACTGCAGCAGTGCATACTGACTGTGGTGGTACCTGCTTTCGCTACGGCAGTGTATACTGACTGTGGTGGTACCTGCCCTGGTCCACCAAAATCTTTATAGGCATTTTCGCAAGGAAATCAGTACCCAACAAGCACGGCACAGCCAAGGGCCTGGAGATCAGAACCGGCCCCAACGTGGCGACCTCCCCGATCGCGATATGAGCGTCCACCTGACCGACAATGCCCATGCTACCCCCGTTAGCAGCTACACAAGCGGCAAAAGCCGGACGAACACGCGATATGGGAATCGATAACAATTGAAAGATCACTTCCGAAATGATCGTAGCGGAAGCCCCCGTGCCAACTAAGATGCGGACATCTACCCCCTGAATGGAACCAGGTGCCGCCGAGGATCCCGCAGCCGCCGGGACTAGGCGACGTGCCAATTTTTTCCATTGGGTCACCGAAACAGGCCAATGAATGCAGCTCTACAAACCCCCAAATCGCGATACCAACAACCATGCTCCGTGGTATAAGATGCATGAGGTGGCAAATTTGGTCGGGTGTCCGACGTGTACCGACTCGCCTGTGAGGGATGATGGTGATCTGTCGGAGAAACAGCAGGAGCCTGAGCAGCAGGCAGAGTCAGCGACCGAGGGTGGCCCCTGCACTCCCTCGCGAAGTGGCCCAAGCGGCCACACCGCAGAGGGCAAGACCACTCCAATGTCCCTGGCCAAGGCCAAAATGCGGTCCATGACCAACCAGTCAAGGACCTCCTGCTTAACATCGGGGTAGGCGGCCACAGCCAATTCCATAAGGGAACTTCGGTAGGCGAGCGGAGACTCCGAGCTTCCCCTTCTCCGATGCATAAACTTTCATCGGGGGCTGGAAGGTGGTTCATAGACCTCCACCGTTTTGGCATAAACACTTTGTAGCGTCTTCTTCTTCTCAGGGGGGATCGATCTAAAGACCGCAAGAGCATCGTCATCCAGGATGGTCGGAAAAGCGACCAGCGCCTCCTCCTCTGACCATTGCACTGACCGGAACGCTGCCTCAAACCTCCAAGTGAAGGCACTCCAATCGCCGCCGGCAGCGAGGAATTATTTTACATGCGGAAGCCGGCAGGTGCGCTCAGCCCCGTGTCGCCCAGCAGGAGCAGCGGCCCCCGCAGCCAGCGTGCCACGCGGCTCACTGGAAATGGCGGGCTCCGACCGCGCCTCAGCCACTCCGCCCAAGATGGCGGCGTCCTGCCGCGTGGTCTTCGCAGCGCGCATAATGGCGGATGCCTCCACAGTGCCCGCGACGGCGGCCGTCGTTTCCGCAGGGGGACCCTCCGAGGCTCCAGTCTAGAGCCTCTGCACGTCACCCCTCAGCAGTACCTCCTGCGGGTGCCCCGATGACGTGGACGAGGCGACGAGCGATACCATCTGGAGAAGCACTGTCCGCAACGACTCCAGCTGCTCCTCTATCCTCCGCCAGCCGTCTTCCACCTGCCATGTGTGAAGAAGCCGCAGCCGCGCCGCCCGCTTCTAGTGCGGCGACTTCACCAGCCACGGTTCCTGTAACCGGGACCATGAATCCCGGGGTCGGCAGGTCCTAGGTCACTGCCTCGTTGTCGTCGGAAGACGCAACAGGTGGGTTCTTCTTCTTAAGATGCTTGGAGATTTTTATTTCCGTTGCATGTTTCCGTCTCCAGAAGAACCACTTCTGACTCCAATGTAATAAGCGACTTCCACGACGACTCTGGACTGGTGTCTTTTATTTAACAGAATGTCTCTCTTTCCGGAAGGCTTCCCTCTCTCTCTACTGCCGTGATGCGTGCTTTCTCTCTTCCACCATCACGGCGCATCTCTCTCTCTCTCTCTCCACACTCGCCGCTGGCTGGCGGTGCGCTGGGAGGAGAGAAGGCTTCGCTGGCAGAGCCCGCCACATAGCCGGTAGCGAGTAGAGGTAGGCGATGATGCAGACTGGACTCCAGACTCCCCACACCGACCTCGAGTCCTCTCCTGTCTCCGCTTATATGCCCCCCGGCAGAGCTAAGCTCCGCCTACGGCCACGCCCCCTCGTGGAACCCTCTAGATGGTCCCCGAATATTCTCCATAGCTCCGCCTGTTACCTTTGGCCTAGATTGAATCCCTACTCCCGATTGGATACCGGTTACCCAGCGGTGGCCGTACAGATGCCCCCTGTAACCCCCCAGGTGGTGCTCTCTCATTACACAAGTACTGTATTGTTTCTGCACAGGTAAGGCGATGGTGGACTACATCGCCGCGTATCTAACTGGGCTACGTGACCGGCCCGTGAACCCATCCGTACGGCCCGGCTACCTGCATCCCCTGCTGCCCCCTGGCCCCCCGCAGCAAGTAGAGCCCTGGGAGAGAATCTTTGAGGACATGCAGCAGCTCATTATGCCTGGGGTAAGGCACCCAGCCAGAGAAACATGAATAAGATAGGATCAAGCTAGGATCATGCCTTACAAGATGTGGTGTAACCTGAAAACACGTCGGAGCACTATTTAATTTCTGCTTTATTAATGCAAGTTGTGGCATGCATGCAGATTGCGCACTGGCAGAGCCCACACATGCATGGATATTTCCCGGCACTCAACTCGTACCCATCGCTTCTTGGTGACATGCTGGCGACTAGGATTAACTGTGTCGGCTTCACATGGGTACGTCTGTGTGTAAGAGTGCCGTATTTGCATAACGACAGCAACGACTATTCACCACTAAGTGTCAGTGATGTCACCACACAGCGCTTGTACCAGGCTAGGTGCATACACAATGAGTGACAGTACATATAAAACAGATCGATGGACAACCATCAAAAATCATGTGGGAACTCTTTGAGATATGCATCTTAGTTAAATGAAGACATTTGGAAACGTTTTGAGAAAACAAGATGCAAGGGTAACAATACAAATGTACAAATTTAACTCAAGTTTGAAAACATTTGCTAAATAATTTAAATAGTTTATTACACAATCATTACAGCAAATTAAGTATTTACATTTGATATAAAATCGCATAATGTTGAAGAAAATGTGTTCATGGATATATTTTAAGATATGTAAGTAAAAAATATATTCAGTGAATAGGGGGGCCCAGGGAAGATCAGATATTGCTTGCCACGAATGTTAAACATGGCCAGACTTAATCTGGCCCAAAAAATATTCAGATTTTTTAATTTACAGAATAAAAAAACACGTGCAAGAAACGTTTTTTTTTTTTACAAATTCAAAATAAAATTTATTTGCAAGCTGAGACTGTAGGTAGGTTATTTGATTCAAGTAAAATTCCTTGTTTTATTGGTTATTGAGCAGCTCCAACACTATTATTAAAACTATGGTAACTGTTGATGCGTGATCTGGGCCAGGCATCTAACCCGGCGTCCACGGAGCTGCAGATAGTGATGACGGACTGGTTGGTGGACATGCTGTCGCTCCCTGCCACCTTTCGACATGATCACCCAGACGGATGTGGAGGTGGAGTCATACAGGTCCTTGATCTACATCATCATCATATTTCCAACACTTTGGTTTACAAAGCAGTACATTTAAAATCTAAATACATCTAAAACGATCAACAGATTAACAGAATAGGCAAGAAAGATTAGAAAACATTTAAGGGGTGGAGAGTGGAGAAAGACAGACCATACTCAAAAGAGTATGGAAAGAGTATGGATTCCTGTAGTCACGAAAGCTTCAAATCAAGACAGACAGGAGAATTGATAAGATGGCGCTGTAGGAAATACAAGTTGGAAGTGATGAGTTTAAGCAGAGTTTTGAATGCTGGAAGGGACCAGTTGATATAAATGAGTGATAGCAATTGTCATATTAACCGCGATGTAATAGTGACACACTTTCACATTTGTTCATCAGGGTGTTTGCATGGCCTGCATGTGTAGCACAGTTGCCTCCAAGGTCAGAGTGGACCATATTTTTAAAACTTTTTATCAATTATAACTATTAATGGTTCAATTTGTTGCACTTATCCCAAAAATGTGTGTGGGTGTGTACTTGCGTTTTTGTGGAACAGAGCTCAGTGAGCGAATCCACCATGCTGGCCCTTCTGGCGGCACGGACACGCGCTCTTACACAGTTACGCGGCGATGTGAGCCAGGACGTCGGCAATGATGCACTCCTCAACTCACGACTAGTGGGGTACACATCAGACCAGGTGTGGCAGTCTACACTCGCTAATGCCCGTGCCCACCTTATGTTTTAAAATGGTTTATTTCCCCCCACCCCACAAATTTTTAATAGAAGAATATTGAGCATTATCGTACGCTTTTGATGAATGATGCTTCAATCAGAGCGTGCGGAAAATGCTCCCTGCTTCTACTTATTTTCGTAACTTTTCCCTCTCTAAACTTAAACCTAATCGCACCTCCGATTAGCATGTTTGGCTACGGACGGTGCCAAAGACGTTCAATATACATCCATACATAATTAAAGAGTACGAATGAAGGTGAATTCTGACTCCCGCCAGGCTCACTCGTCAGTGCTAAAGGTGAGTCTCATGTCGCTGGTGAGGGTGCGCTCACTGCCCACGGACTTGGGAGTTCTCGTTGCGTGGGGAGACGCTCCGACGCGCCGTGGATGAGGACAGAGCACAGGGCCTCGTCCCGTTCTTCGTGAGTTACTTAACTCCAAGCGTGAATTTGTGTATCGATGCAATGTGCACCAACATTTATGATTACAGTACTGTCCTTGATTTGATTACCCAGAAAAACCCCCATCACTGAGTGTCTGGGACCATTTAGACAATTTGTTTTTAGAGAATTTTCATATGTTTATAGGATACTGGAACATCTAAGAGCCTGCACAAAACACTGAAATTCCACACATGTCAGAAACCTACTTGTTGCACAGTACTGTGATTGCCTGCCTAGAAGTTACTGAATTACTCATAATGGGGTTTGTCTCGGCCTCACTGTGCGCTGCGTTGCACCACTGAGTAGATAACCTCGTATTCAATAAACCTTCAGAGCCAGGGTGAACATCTGACTCCAAACGTATTTAATGAATTGAACGAGGTAAAACTGATGGAAAAACACAGCACAAATACAGCATCTGTTAATGCTTGGAAATATCAATATAATGAATGAACACTACATCATAATAACATTGTCTTAGGTAACATTAAACTCAACAAGAGATCCTGGATGTGTGGGGGCTAACGTCCCCCGCCATCACTGAATTGTCGGGGCCGTTGCCCACCGACTCCCCCGTTCCATCCATACCGCTACCTCCCCGGCTGCTCTGTCAGGTCCAGACTACCAACCCCTAATGCCTCGCCCCCCTGTACCTCTGCCTGGGATGTCGACCGCGTTTGCGTAGCTTAATTAGCGGCTCGTGCGCTTTGCGCTCGCGATGCGCTACCCTGTTCAACGGCGGCGTGTCGCGGTGAGCACGCTCGCAAAGCAAAACCCCGTCCTGCATGGGAATAAACAGGCGCGGCGCGCCCCCGTGGGATTCCCTCCCACCCACGCTCCACGCGCTTAAGCAAAAACAACCACGCCGCAATTACTTTGCTCCGATTTAACGGGCTGTTTACACAGCTGCGTATTCACACACGCCAGGCGCTTAATTCGCTATTAGACAATAGCGCGAGTGCGCGCCCGCCACCCCGCCACCCCGTCACACAGGCGCGCGAGCGCAAAGCGCTACTGTAGGCTATTGCGCAGGTACACGAGCGCTGGGCACCACCGAAGATATTCGTGTAGGTACGCGCGCGCTGAACAATACTGTAAACGATCGTACAGGTACCGGCACTAAGCACGTTCTACTCCCTTATTCGCTGCAAACAGCCGCGTATGCGCGCGAACACAAAACACTCTGTACACACTCGTACCGGTATGCAAACACCAAACACTCCGTCTCCCTCCTCGCACTCACAGTGACCACGACACAGCTTTATCCTATTAGTGGTTTTATTCCCCGCGAGTATCGAACTAGACTGTGTGTGTCAGTACGGACCAGCAGGACAGGTCTAACCTATCTCGCTACTGCCTGATACTTAATGGACCTGTCTGCCCTCTATTTTCTCTCCGAATTTCGTCACCTTGTCTTACCTCTCTCCCTCGTACTTACGGTCCGACCTCGCAGCGATGGAGGTCGCGGATAGATGATGCTGTAAACAGAATCTGGCTGTTCTCTGCCCCGTCTCACGGACGTGCGAGTAACGGTCAGGTGACGGCTCCCCGATCCCTCCCTCCTGTTGATCTCCAATCAAATCAAAAAATGGCCCCCTGCTTCAACAAAGCGTCCCTTTTTATGCTCCTTTCAAAGCCCTCGCAGCGCCCATCCACGGTGCATCACGGGTCAGGCCGTTAATCCGCAGTGCATCATGGGTAGGGCCATTAATCCGCGGTGCATCATGGGTCGAGACGCTAGCCCGTGGTGCACCATGGGTAGAGACGCTTAACCCACGCTGCCCCTCTCCCCACCTGTCTCCTGGTCCGTGTGTGTCTTGAGCATCTCCTCACTGCGGTTCTCAGTGAGTTCGCCGTGGTCATTTAATTCTAAGTTAAGCCACGGTGCCGCAGTAAAATTTGGCCTGGGGGGGGGGGGTTGCCTGCCAATTCCCTGACCCTGAGAAACCGTGGAGCACCCCCACGAGGGGGGCTCTCGGGTAAAAACTCAGGGCAGGTGCCCCCTGTTGTATATGCCCCCCTTTCCATCTTAATATTAACAAGTAATTTTTCAATACATATAGATCAGTGGTTCTTAACCTGGGTTCGATCGAACCCCAGGGGTTCGGTGAGTCGATCTCAAGGGTTCGGCAGAGCCCCCGCCACGGAGGTCCGGACACACTTGAATTATTGTGTAAATTTGTGATGACACACACGGCCCGCTTGGCCATCACTGGCTGCAGATGATCATGCTACACTGCTTGGCCAATCAGCGCTGCGGGGAATTTAGTGCGTACTCAGTAGTCAACGTGTGACTGTTGTTGTCGTACGTCGTGTGATTTCTTTAATATTTTATCCATACTATGTCGGGCAAAAGAAGAAAGTGGTCGGACGAATATGTACAACATGGATTCTCATGTATCACGGAACGTGATGGGAGTGAGCGTCCTATCTGCATGATTTGCAACGCCAAGTTGAGCAACTCTAGTCTTGCACCGGCAAAACTAAAGGAACACTTCTTGAAGCTGCATGGAGACGGGGAATACAAGAACACAACACTTGCTGAATTCAGGGTGAAGAGAGCCAGATTCGATGAAAGGGCCACTCTGCCTGCTCTTGGATTTGTACCTGTTAACAAACCGATCCTGACAGCATCGTACGAAGTTGCTTACCTGATCGCAAAGCAGGGCAAGCCACACACCATTGGTGAAACACTTGTGAAACCAGCTGCATTAAAGATGGCGAATCTGATACTCGGAACAGCGGCCGAAAGTAAATTATCCCAAATTCCCCTTTCAAATGACACCGTCAGTGACAGAATAGAAGACATGAGTAAAGACATCTTGGCTCAAGTAGTCGCGGATCTGATTTCAAGCCCGGCAAAATTCAGCCTTCAACTCGACGAAACCACAGACGTTTCTGATCTAAGCCAGCTTGCTGTTTTTGTACGCTATGTGAAAGACGAAATGATAAAAGAAGAGTTTTTATTTTGTAAGCCTCTTACAACAACAACGAAGGCAGCCGATGTGAAGAAGCTTGTGGATGACTTCTTCAGAGACAACAATCTTTCATGGGATATGGTTTCTGCAGTTTGTACGGACGGAGCTCCAGTCATGCTGGGAAGAAAGTCTGGTTTTGGTGCACTAGTAAAGGCCGATGCACCACACATCATTGTGACGCATTGTATTCTGCACAGGCATGCGTTGGCAACAAAAACCTTACCTCCAAAAATGGCAGAAGTATTAAAAACTGTGGTGGAATGTGTGAACTATGTGCGAAAAAGTGCTCTGAGGCACCGCATCTTCAGTGAGCTGTGTAAAGAAATGGGCTCTGAATTTGAGGTACTTCTGCTCCATTCTAATATTCGGTGGTTATCCCGGGGACAGGTGCTGAATCGTGTTTTTGCCATGCGTGTGGAATTAGCCCTGTTTTTGCAAGAGCACCAACACTGCCATGCAGATTGCTTCAAAAATCCTGAGTTCATTCTCATTTTAGCGTACATGGCTGATATATTCGCAGCTCTCAATCATCTCAATCAGCAGATGCAGGGTGGTGGAGTCAATATCATGGAAGCGGAAGAACACCTGAAGGCTTTTCAAAAAAGCTACCGTTATGGAAACGACGAACAGAGAACAATAACTTCGCAAACTTCCCGCTTCTGGACGACTGTGCAAGTAAGATCGAAGATGTGTCTGGAATCGGAGATATTTCTGTATCCACGGAACTGAAGCAAACAATTGCCACGCACTTAGATGAGCTTGCAAAGTCTCTCGACGGATATTTCCCTACAAGAGAGTCATATCCAGCATGGGTGAGACAGCCGTTCACGTTTGCTGTTGAAACAGCAGATGTCAATGATGAATTCCTCGACGAAATCATTGAAATTCAGCAGAGCCAGGTTCAACAGCAACTCTTCAGAACAACAACGCTCTCAACGTTTTGGTGTCGTCAAATGAACAAGTATCCAGTTATTGCTAAGAAAGCCCTGGATTTTTTTATACCATTTGTTACAACATATCTTTGTGAGCAATCCTTTTCGAGGATGCTGGACATAAAAACGAAGAAAAGGAACAGACTTTGCTGTGAAAATGACATGAGAGTGGCACTTGCCAAGGTGAAGCCACGCATATCTGAACTGATCTCTCAAAGGCAACAGCAGAAGTCACATTGATTTCCAGGTATGTAATTTGTTGTGAGTTTATGCATTGTGTTGGTTTTATTCTTTGAACAAGGTAATGTTCATGCACGGCTCATTTTGTGTACCAGTAAAAAAAACATATCTACGTCTTGAATTTGAAAAAAATCACATTTTATTTTTCACTAAAGAGGGGTTCGGTGAATGCGCATATGAAACTGGTGGGGTTCGGTACCTCCAACAAGGTTAAGAACCACTGATATAGATACATACTTCTATTGTTTCTTTTAATTTTAATAATGAATAAAAACACCAAACCAGGCCTCAGCATGGCATGTGGAGGTCATATTTACCTTGACCCACTAACACGATTTTGACGTTCAGAGCCCTCCCAGGGTCAGAGGGAGCAGATAGAGAGCAGAGCGCAGCGGATTGCAAAAGGGCTGACGTAAACACAAAGCCAGGGTCACTGGGAGGTTGCGTTAGCCTAGATCTAGTTAAGTCAAAAAAGCTAATTGGTTCTGCATTACTATTAAAGTAACTTAAAGTCGGAATTTAACAACAGGGTAGGCTAAAGTTATTGATCTTCACACCCACTTCAATTGAACCCTGTCACAAGCTACGTCAATGTAACCATCACCCGTCTATTAATTGAATATGAAATGTATTTACATATTTTAATAATTTCTATACGACTTGACCCGAAGCCTAACAATAAGGTTTTCCTAAGTCAACATGAATGCTCTAATCCACCCATACGCAAATAATAAGCCGGGTTAAAGTAAGAGTAGAGAGGAAAAGAAATGCAAGCGCACAGCAAAACTGCAACGTAAGCAAAGGGCGATGTTAAACCCAGGGTCGGAGA